TTACTTAGAATTGCAAAAACTTAATGGAATGATGTATAAATGAAAATGATATCCCACAAGACTGGAAAGTTGGATATATGTCATCAATATACAAAAAAGGCAAAACAGATGAGTATAAGAATTACTATTATATGTTCATGTAAATCTTCATGTACATGTACATGTACTTCCATGTATTCAGCAGGATACATGGAAAATTATTAAAATATTATTTAGAAGAGGAATACAAAGATATGGAAAATGATATGTGAAAATTATCAAGTTGAAGATCCACACTTGATCATATCTTCTGTGTTAGACAAATAATTGAGAAAAAAGTTGCTAGAAATCAAACACCACATTTATTATTTATTGACTTAGAAAAGGCATACGATAGTATACCAATTTAAAACTTATGGCATGTATTGGATAATATAATGATAAATAAGAAAATAATAAATAATATTAAAAAATTATATCATAACTCTATTGTTAAAATTAAAATTGCAACAAGATTATATAAAGGATTTCTGGTTACTAAAGTTTATGCCAAGGTTGTATTTCCACAACATTATCTAAAATTTACATTCAAAAGGCTATGGAAATATGAAAGAGAAAATGTAGTAATATGGGTCTAATGGTTGGAGACAATACCATATATACATTATTATTTGCAGATGACCAATTAGTTATAGCTGACGATTATGAGGATTTAACATATATGACAACAAAGCAGAAAGAAGAATACAAAACTGGGAACTAAATATAAATATGGGAAAAATTAATTATATGATAAATGGAACTGGAGACATACATGATTTAGAGGAAAATAGAAAATTTGAACTGATTAAAGGATGTGATGAATTTAAATATTTAGGAACAAAAATTACTAATGATGATCGAATGAAAATTGAAATAGAGACAGAGTTATGAAAGGAAGATCTATAATAATAACATTAAATGGAATCTTATGGGATAAACAAATCTTTAAAACAACAAAAATAAACTTATATAAATCATTAGTTGTAAGTGTGATAACATATGGAGCAGAAGTGTGGGTATTAGATTCAAAATTTAAATCTAAATTAGAATCTACAGAAATGGACTTTTTGAGAAGATCTGCTCGATGTTCAAAACTAGATAAAGTAAAAAAATGAGGAATTTAAGAAAAAAATGAATTATCAAAACTCTATATTCAATTATATCCATAACAAACAATTAACCTGGTATGGCCATGTTCGGAGGATGAAAGAAGATAGACTACCGCAACAGATGTTGAAATGGATTCTGGCAGCCAAGAGGAAGAGAGAAAGGCTGCAGACTACATGGATAGAGGAAGTAACAAAAGCTATGGAGCACAAAAGATTGACAGAGGAGGATCGTCCAGACAGAACAGAATAGATAATTAGCCATATAATAGCCTGATATTTAGGTGATCGTTTGGCAATTTAGTATAGAATATAGAAGTAAAGTTTTGGCACAGGAAGGTGCTTAAGCATTATTAACCTGTGCGTCATGTTCGGGAATCCATGTTCGGTTGCTATTTTTTTGAAGCGGGCTAATTCATTTGTCAGGGCTTGCTTGGTGGATGAGTGTGAGAACGCCCTCTCCACCAGAGCCCTAAATGTGGTTGCCTTGTATGGGAACAGGTCACAGGAATCGGCTGGTATGTACGTGGGGGTGGATGAGGGCTTGTGGTATACAGCTGTTTGGATGATGGGTCCTACTATCTTTATTCCGATGTCAAGGAAATGGACTTCTTCCGTACTGGCTTGCTCTAGCTCGACTGTTAGGCCGAAAGGGTTGTCGTTAACGGTTCTGACGAAAGATGTCATGTCGGGTATCTCCTTCCATATGATAAGGATGTCGTCAACGTATCTTTTATAAACGAGGATGCTAGGAAGGAAAGGCGGGAGGGCCTTAGTCTCAAGCTGCCTGACAATCATTTCGTAGAGGTCGCCCGAGAGCGGGCTACCCATCGGTACGCCCTTTTTCTGCTGGTAGATAGTGTCGCCGAACTTAAACACAGAGTCGTAACATGCCAGATGGGCTACCTCGAGTACTTGTTGGTGTAGTGCTTGGTCCTGAACAGTATTAAACAAAAAATCTCTGCGGGAGCAAAGGCTGGGGGTAGTTCTATTGAGGGGTACATAGATTTGAAGTCCAGGACTGTCATAAACTGTGATGGGGAGGGTAGGTCCTGCAGGAGGCGGATGAGGTCAGTCACTTTATTTACGTTGTAAGGGTAGTTTTCTAGATGTGGAGTCAGAAGGTTGTGTATGGCGTTTTCTAACCTTCTCGTGAGCGCTCTCACCTTGTCTACAATCAGGCATAACTGTTGGCCTGTCTTATGTGTCTTAGTGTAGGCGAAAAGTCTAGGGACGTCGGGCGAATCGACCACTATGTCACGGAATGCCAGGCATTTAGCTAATTTAGAGTCAGCCAGATGTCTAACTTTAGCCTGTAGTCCGTCGATTATATCGTCTTTCTCTTTCTCGCACATTGTATTATCGATGTATTCTCTTAAACTCTGTTGGTATGAATTGCGTTTCATGAGGACCAGTGTTCTGGACTTATCCGCTCTGGTGAAAATTACTCTGTTCTTTCGCATCCATCTAGTAGTATGACTCAGTTTGTCCCTGAGCTCTATGATTTCTTGCTGTTCCTTAGCTTTCATGATGTTTATCGAGGATATCCATCTGTAATACTCCTTCTGCGTGTCCGGGAGGCTTTTTACAAGGTATTCCATATCCGGAATGAGGTCTCTGGTTCTATTTTTGGGCGGTGGGGGTGCGAAGGTTGGGCCATATCTAAGTACGTCTATAACGTAGTTAGGTGGTTGGATGCCGTCCCAAAGGATAAATGGGAATGTGGGGCGTTGGTTAGCCTTAGGTACCTGAAATTTTAGTATCCAATCCAGCTTCCTACGGTAGCGTTCTCGTAGTTTGGCAGATAAGCGTTCATAGACTGGGACTAATCTAGCATTCTCACTGGCCAATACTTCCGGGTGTGTGTGGAATAGGGAGTTTTCAATAATAATTTTAACTTGATTTTTAATTTTGGTTTCAGTTTCAGTGTAGAGACCAGAGTTTTAATTATTACTTTGTTTAGAATTAATTTAATTTTAGTTTTTATAATTATTTTTGATAATTATTTATTTTTTGAATNGTACCAGAAAAGTACAAATGTACTAGGAACGGCAACACTGGTGGAGACCCCCCAAACAGTAGCCCTCTGTGCAAACAATAAAGTTAAAGGAACTATACCCCTACGCATGACCCTTCAGGAGATATAAGCCCCTGAAAATTCGCCTATGTCATTTCTGGTCACGTGACACTGTGGTCAAAAGGGAGCCTACCGCGCAAAAAAAATTAACGCACGCTCATGCACTCTTGGGGATCGCCGACCTGCTCATTTGCAGGGTAAATTGTGGCAAACAGGCAGTCACATGACCTGTAGAATAATTTTCAAAGGGCTATATCTCGGGAAGGGTCATGCGTAGGGGTATGGTTCATTAGACATTTATTGTTCGCACAGAGGGGGTCGCCACCCCTTCATTCGGAGGGTAAATCTTACCATCCCAATCACGTCATATGGATCTATATTTCTACCTATTAAACATTCTATAAATACTTTAAAATAAATTAATTTGTTTATTTACCTTCGCTTGTAAACCTCGATTTTAAATGTATCCACCATTTTTTCAAAAAATTTCCCGTGAGTCAATGCACGACGTTCACCGAGTCACGGGATCTTGTAAATGTGCGATGCAAGGTTAATCAAGGCATATAATAAATTCATATCAATAATAAATTCCTATTACAAATAAAAATAATTTATTGTTAATTTAAAACCTTTGCTAGGGTGCCTCTAGTGCCCGTTTTTGGCATACCGTTATGCGGACAGACGGATACCCATTTAATGGGTTATATAGATAGATTGATCATTCTTGTACGGTATTGCATACACTCCTGGTTGTTCTTTCTCATTAATTCTTTCTTTGTCATTCCTGAGCAACATATATAAGGTAAGAGCTTATTGGCCTCTTTGTGCTTTCTGAGCAGTAAGGGGCCTAAAACCTCAAAAAAAAAAGTATGTGAATTTAGTGATGTTGCTGCTTCATCTGGTTTTTTCTTTTTGCCCTTTCTAGGATTGTTTTAAGTGGCAATTAGGTGTTCTACAGTTCTTACTCCAAATCCCAACACTTTTGCAGTTGTTTAGTGTACAGTGTTCATAAAATACCAAATTGTTTCTGCAATATTTTAAATCTGATATATGCTCCTTAAGTCCTAACATTCATTTTCCTCTTAGTTTCTCCTATATAATATTTTGTGGTGCTGCATGTACAGAACATGGAATTTGATAAATGATGATGTTGATTTCTTCTGGTTTTTGTTTTTCTTTTTTTGGGCGTTGTCTCTCTTTAATTCTGGAGTATAATTTTTGTGGCACCAGTTTTATGTTGATTTTTTCCATCTCTTTGTTACCTCTTCATATAAACCTTTTATATACAGAAAAGCTACATATTTTTTTGGTGATTTTTCTTCCTCTTTCCGAAGGTTCCTCTTTGTATTTATTTTTTCTTCCTGGCTTTTTATTAATCTATTTGGGTAGCCATCTAATATAAATCTCTTTTTCAATTCTTTTATATTATTATGCATGTAGACATTTTCAGTAGTTTTATCTTTTATTTTATTATATTATATTCCATTCGAAAGTAATCAAAGGACATGAAGCTTTTTATAATATATAATCAATTATAATTTTGTTAGTTTTATAAAATGCAATTTCCATTTGTTATCTTATTATGAAAATTAATAGGTATGACAAGAAGCAATGAGACAGCAGTCAATGCATAAGAAATAGATTCTATAAACTTAGAATGGTAATGTAGGCAACAAAATTCTCATTTGTTACCTTACAATTACACAAATATAAAAGACACATTGAGTTTTAGATTAATGTTTCCACTATGAAATGCAAGTAACGACAGAATAATAATAATAATAAAAGTTACTTACATGGGATTCCCAGCAGTTGCTGCACTGCATATAAAAAAGTATAGATTTGTGAGATTAAGAAAAATTTAATTAAATTAAAGAACTAAAAGATACAACAATTATAAAATTCATACTTTGTATCCTCTTCCATCTCTATGTGAAGGTCGTCGACTTCTTCATCATCTTCATCTTCAGAATTTTCTTCTAATTCATCATCAGCCTAATCAAAATTTTAAACTTTTTATTTTTATATCCTGATTAATTTTCTACTGTTTATAAACAATAATACCGATCATTACTTACTTCTGAAACACATGATAATTCTAATCTTTCAATTTCCATTGGATCATTTAAATTGTGAAATTTGCAAAGTTCTTTCAATAATATCTTAACTTGTTGTAGTACCTATGAATGGTTTTAAACATTTAATATATAAATAACTAAATAATGATAAAATCCTAATTTAAAGAATAAATGTACAGTAAAACACCACAAAAGACAGGGGATATGTTCCACATTACAGGAAACCGCATTATACAAACCACATGTATTATGTATGAATAGCGAGTTTGGTTATAAAGCATCACAGTTCATATATAACCCGTATTTGGATAATAAAATATCCTATAACATAAAATGTATCAACCACATTATACAGGATTTTACTGTGTATATAGTGCAATGAATAAATAATAATCTGTTGATAATAATTTGAATTTTTCAGATATTAAATAAATAAATACTTTCCTACTGGAACTACAATAAGTAAAAAACAAAACCTTTAAACAATCCAGCAAATCGTTTTTTAATATCTTAAAAACGCCTTTGAATGCTTTAAGTGATCATCCTCAGTTATCATTTTGAATTGAACGAAGAATTCAAAATTATGTAAAATAATAATTGGTTGAAGAAAGTTACGCTTATGGATAAGGAATGGATGACGGTGTTAGGAATGGTGACGGTGTTAATTGACGGGTACAAAGCTCTGTACCTGTCAATTAAATTGCCTCCCTGTTTTCGTGCCCTGATCGACTTTTTGTTAGCTAAAATTAACAACTCTATGAAATACCACAAGCAGATCTTAGAATTGGCAGATTTAATTTGCCATACATCTTTCTTTCAATTTGAAGATAATACTTACCTGCAAGCAATGGGTGTACTGATGGGTAGTCCCATGTCAGCTATACTCTGCGAATTAGTGTTGCATAAACTTGAAAGCCAAATACTCCCCTCGTTCCGGGAAGACATATTGTCCTACGCAAGATATGTTGATGATATCCTTATTTTGTGGAAAGATAATCGCAGAGTTAGCCAGTTTATAGAATGGATCAACGACAACCTGTATGGATTAACTCTGGAGCTGGAGCAGGAAAATGGGAGAAATGTTAGTTTTTTGGATGTATCTATAACTTGCAAGGAAGGGAAAATCAGAACAAATATATACCAGAAACCAAGTTATCTTCTTATTATTGTTCCTAGGAACTCCGCAGACCCTGAGCATATAAAAATGGCGGTTTTTCGTTCTTGGATAAGGAGGGCACATACGCATTGCACCAGCATCTGCGACACTTACAAAGAATTGGAATATATCCGATACATAGAGATGCAGCAAGGATACTGTAGAGAACAAACAGATGCGCTCATTGCGAATTGTCAGAAGCAGCACCCTGCGCAGGGAGGGAATCAACAGAAAGAAAAACTCATGCTCAATTACATACCGTTCCTCAAAGGAATGGTTAAGAAAGTTACCAGACATAAGAACATACAGATAGTTTACAGGCATAATCCCACCGTGTACATGCTCTTCAGGAACAATAAAGGCAGTTACGAATGCAACGAGATGGCAGGGGTATACTCTATACCATTAAATTAAAGGTAAAAAAGTGAGTCTTCGAGAAGTTGTCGCAAAATTGTCTTTGACCAGAGGACAAGGTTTCAAGAAGTGTAACTGCTTAAAAAAATGCCTAACGAAGAAGTGCGCTTGCAAGTCATCAGGATTACTTTATAATTCTAAATGCCATGATAGCTCTCCAAGTTGTAACAAGTAAAATCCTTTTTTACTTTTATTAAATGAACAACGAATACCAAATGATTAGAAAAAATACTGTGATTACTGATTAGCTTAGCCAGGTAGGCTATTATATTATTTTTTACAAGATAATTTAATTTTTGTTACGTTAAAAAAGTATTTTTAAACTGTTTCACTAGTTATTAATAAATAGGACTTTAATAAGTTTATAATAGTTGCAATAAATGATTATTAAAATACTCATAGTTTTATTTCCAAAACCAACATTTACTAATCGTCTTTAGTAAAACCTAGCATGTATCAAATTCTAATGGTAAAAGTCCAGAAAATCATCTCACTTTATAAAAATCCTTACATTTACCAACTCATGTTGGTAAATCCGAAGATTTACAAGTAAAACCTAGGATTTACCAATATATGGGCTTTTACAGTAACATATATTCAATATGAAAGTAATAAAATATAATAGAGCATTGCTTTAGTAAAATGAAGATATAATTTGTAGCGCTAATTCATATGCAATTACCTTACATTACAGTATCAGGCTACAGACAAAATAATTTGAAAACTTTATTTTAATTCTGTATGTTACATAGGTTACAATGCTATACTACCAGGTGAACATAGGATCGATACAAGTGTACACCTGGCAAAGTTCTAACCCAAAAGTGAGGTCATAGGGTCAGGTTGCCAGGTTCGCTAAGTTCAGAGTACCTGGCAGCGACTTTTGGATTTATGACCAAAGCTGTTGCCACATAATCAAATAGCATAATTCAACATCAATGTTAATCATATTTATTACTTGAATAAATATCATTATTCATCACATCTCTAATATATATTGTACTTACCAGATTATCCCTTCCAACTGTGTTTGTTAATATTTGTACAGCAGAAGTGATACAAGGATCTTCTGTATCTGCAAACCACACAGGAGGGGTTGAAGGATATGCTTCCTAAAAAGAAAACTTTTTTTAAATTTATATATCAGACATTAAAATTTATTGTATCTTAGCTTGCAAAGAAATACTCATAACTACTAAAATACTGTATTTTGACAATCTTTATGCCAAATAACTTTCAAAGAGTAATGCTTAAAAACAAATTTATATGTATGAATCATCTACAAAAAACAATAAAAAGCACTAAATGCACATGTTTCTTGAAAACTGCTTAAACTTACTTAAAGAAAATATTGAAAACACATGCCTCCCCACTAGGGAATTCGATCCCGGTCCTTATTTCTAATCCCGGGATTTCGGGATTATACTTAGTCAATCCCGGGATCATTTCGGTTTTGAGGATTAATAAAAAATAAGAAAATCTTACAGAAATCAACAAATCAAAATTTAGACAAAAATCAATATATTTTACAGTATACACCTAGCTAATTTAATCACTCTAACTAATCAGACTCAGAGTCAGACTAACCAGACTTAAAATCACTCAGTCTTCATGTTAAATTTATTCTTTTTTAAGCATCACTGAGATCTGTTTAAACTCACATAAATTGAAAAAACCTTTATGTAACAAACTATGCAAATAAACGTTGAAAATTAACAAAAATCTCTCTTAACATC